CCCAAGGTACTGGATTGAGAAGTTAAATCCAACGGTTGTGGTATAATTGAAGTAGGAGTGTCTTTAAAAATAGAAGGTACATTTGTTCTAAATTTACGAAGCGGAAGACAAGCTGATTTAAGTATCTGCCCAACAGAAGTAACAATATCAAATAGTTTGTTTTCAGATTGCGAACCTGATAAAAAATCATCCACATAAAAATCATCCTTGATGACTTGTGAAATTGTTTCATCAGGACTTAAGAAAGGAGCGGACGCCGTACCATACGTCACTGTGTTTAACTGGAATGATTTTATAGGTTCGTCTACACTATCACGCCATAAAATCATTTGAAGGTGCCGTTGATCGTTATGAACGAGAATTTGTCGATACATTTTTTCTACGTCAGCTGTAACGACGAACCGATGCTGTCTAAATCGAATTAATATTGAAAAGAGATCACTTTGTACTACTGGACCCACATATTGTATGTCATTGAAAGATGTTCCCGAAGCTGTCTTAGCCGATGCGTCGAAAACAACTCTCAACTTTGTTGTTTCGCTGTTCTCCCTAGAAACAGCATGATGCGGTAAGTAACATCCATCGACATTGAGTGGAACTTCGCTCATATGGTCCAATTTCTCATACTCCTTCATGAAATCCACGTATTGTTGACGTAAAGAAGAATTTCCTTTAAGTTTTCTTTCCATGTGAAGTAACCGCTTTTCGGCAATGAAATATGAGTCACCGAGCACATTCGGTGATTCTCGAAGAGGAATTTGTACAGAGAAGCGTCCGTGCTTATCACGGTAAGTTGTATCGTTATACAAGACTTCACAGTAATCTGTGTTCAAAAAAGACTCATTTGATGAAGGAATTTCTTCCAGTTCCCAAAATTTTGTGAGCTGTTCTTGTATTTGCTTACTGAAATGGCAAAGACTGCGCTTTGTAGAAGCATCACTGGGTCTCCCCCCCATGGGGCCAGCGACTATCCAACCGAAGTGGGTTTCCTGAAGAAGTGGCTTATTTGGCCCTAGCTTCAACTTGGATGAACCAATTATGTCCCAGAAGACGTCGGCTCCTAGCAACATATCAACTTCAGCAGAATTATAGAAATGAGGGTCAGCCAATTGAATATGATTAGGAATATTCAATTCCTTGATATTTATTGAACTTTGAGGTAATTTGTCTGTAATAAATGGCAATATGTAGCAACGGATTAACAAAGTGTATGCATTGTATAGTGATTTTATGCGTAAGTTGCAATGTTCCGTTATATTAATTGAAATATTATTAAGACCTGAAATGCATTGCAATTTATTTATATTTTTTAGAACGCCGATTTTAGCCCGAGCTGACTCGGTGATAAAAGAAGATTGACTTCCACTGTCGAGTAAGGCTCTTAACATGATTACCTCATTGTCATTGTTTACCACTTCAACCAATACCGTCGATAGAAGAGTTTCGTTAGAAGCAATAGCAGACATACTTACGACAGAAGAAGGCATGTTTTCAGATGAAAATGATTCAGACGTACTTGATTTTAGATTGCCCACTGTTGATGGGTTTCCGTTATCATGAGCATTTAAAGGTAAGTGTATATTTTGTAAGTGGTTTTGTTTGTGTAACATTGTATTATGTTTTTTGTTACAGATGCGACAGCCACCCAACCTACATTGATTCGATGAATGACCACTACGTAGACAGTTCTTACACAGCTTCCATTGAAAAACTTTATTTATTCGTTCTTCGACAGGCATTGACTTAAATTTAATACATTCATATAATTTATGATTATGTTTACAGGCTAAGCAATTGCTTGTAATAGAAGAGGAAGCCGTTATGAAAGATTTTGATTTTATAAAACTAGCCCGCCTGTCTGGCTTATTAATAACTTTACTGGCATGCATTGTTTCCAATACAGTGGCACGATGACGTAAGAAATCAAAGAATTCCTTTAATGTTGGACTATCTAAATTACTACGAAATTCTTCCCAAGTGCGAGCAGTAGTAGGATCCAACTTCGAGGATGCCATGTATATTATCAGAGTGTCCCATTTGTCAGTTGGTTCCCCAAGACTGTTGAGGGCACTTAAGTTTTTAGAAATAGTATCAATCAAGCTGCGCATACCTTGAGCAGATTCCTTAATTAAAGACTCGAGTGAAAATAGTCCCCTAATGTGCTCATTTATTAATAGACGTTTATTATCATACCTATCACATAAAAGAGACCACGCGATAGAATAATTCAAAGAAGAAACTGAAACCGAATTAATAACTTCCTTAGCGGACCCGTCCAAATATGTTTTTAAGTATTGGAATTTCGCAATTTCATTAAGAGAATCATTATTATGTATTAAAGACAAATACATGTCTCTAAACTCTAACCATTTTGTAGAATCACCATCGAAAATAGGCAATTTCACTGGAGGTAATTTTAAAATTCGATGATTACAACCGCCATTTTGCGATGATGAATCCAATTGACACGATTTATTTTCCTTGAAAAATTCCAATAGTTCTTGTGCCGTAGCAATAAGATTAAAAAACTTATTTTCCGTTTCTTCTCTTTCTGCAATCTGCTTCATCTCATCCCCATCCAATAAATCTATTTTCCCCTGAATGTCTTCAAATTGATATGAAAGATCTTGTAATTTACTTAATCGAACAGTTAACTCAGCAGATTGCACTTTAGTGATTTGTTTAGTTTCTAGAAGTGGCGTTAAAAACTTTTCAAACAACGTAATACGTGACCTTACTTGCCCTCTCAACTTAATCAGTTCTTTTAAGTCAGTCATTTTGCAATCGCAAGCAACAAATAATACAATTAAGAACGCACGCCAACGTTATTGAATACACACGCAAATAAACAAGTCAAGAAATGAAGCAAATATCTCACTAACCGTACGAGCTGATAACAAACCGGTTCGGGCGTAGACAGATTGCTGTAGGTGCACTCGCGATGAACGACACAGCGCGACACTGTGTTTAGTTGTTGGAAAACGGATTTGGCACTGTTAGCACTTTTCTCACTTTTTCGCTGATTTACACTCGGAAAACACTGCAATTGATACACAAATATTGATAAGATAACTTGTTGAATAAAGGATCAAGGGAAACTAGGCAAGATTTTTGAAATTGCAAATGTTTTTTAAGGACGCATGTACCTACGTTAAATTTAAAAAATTTCTAATTATGAGTAATATAATTCAATTTATTTTTATTAAATGATTTGGAATGTTTAACTGAGATGTAATATGATGTTAATTGAATTCGAAAGTAACTCACTAGTATTAATAATAATGATTTAACTAGTATTTTAAGACTCTAATATTAAGGTAGATTAGTCGTGAACGTTGAGGATGCTTCGCACTCAATTTCTCCCAAAAGAAGCAATAAAATAAACTGGGATAGAATTATATGTATAGGAACGGGCTTACTTCCAACAGCAGTCGAATATTTCCTGATGCTCCTGCGGGAATTGTTGCCTTCCAGTGCTGAAGTCCAATCACGTCGGGGTCACCATAAAATGTATATTTTCTTAATTCGTTTATTTAGATAATGGAATTGATTATAACATTAATGAGTTACTATTTCGCCTTTGGTATATTGGCACGCACAATTTGTACAAATATTTTATTCTGACAAGGAAGTGACAATGACGTCTGAGTTGGCCGTCGGCGCGCGCGCATCTACCCGAACAATAAGTTTCATCCTAATTAACTACATGTAGACTATTACGAGTATAGCTTATGTCTCTTATTAATAAGTAAATATTATACAACATCACATATGTATATTGATCAAATTACATTAAGTAACTAATGCTCATATATTATGGAATACCTGAAACAATGTATCACAAAGATCCAAAACAGGTTCTGCATCACAAAGATCCAAAACAGTATATTAAATCCCATCAATTTGAATTCACTCAGGTATCTGAATTCACTTCAAAGGCGATATCCGCCCAACCTTGCATTGGTATTAATGTTTTCTTCCTTATGTGAAGTGAGTTTCAAAATGACGTGGGGATAGAATATTTGAGACATGTATAATGAATCATCTTGTTTTGTATTTACAAAAAATTGAATCAATAGAATTGCTACACTAAATGATGTGAATTCGGATACATTAGTGAATTTGAATTCGAGTTCTGATTTTTACAAGAATAGTCTCGTTTTTATGATAGGTATGGCATAATGAAGACGAAGGGTTGCCAACTGTGAAAATCTTATACCGAAGAGATTAGGTACGTTACCGGGTACTATATATTTTGTATTTGTTTTTGCAAATTACGACTTAATGAAAACCGTTTTGGCAATTTAGTTAATTAAATTACTCAAAACAAATTTTAGTTGTTAGTAAAGATGTCATTAAATTAAAGGTATTATATTCATTTGTGAACATAGGAAATAACATTAAAAATAAGTCTAGTAAGTAAATTCAGTCTATTAATATTTCTCATGCTCTGCCTGGTATAGATTTACTTGTAGAGAAAACGACTATGTAATTGGATTATTCAAACGATAAGGCACATACAAAAAACAATAAGGACGGAGAAGTTTTGTAATGGCGACCACGTACCGAATGACGTTCAGTCGGCCACCACCTGGCTGAGTAGGCCCCCAGCCAGGTGGACCGACGATCAGATAATGGTCTCGGGAAGCTTCTTGATGTGGGCAGCGCAGGACCGAATGTAACGCAGACCCATGTAGAGGGGCTTTGACCAGCGGTGGGCATCGAACAGCTGATATAACGATCACAATGAAGTGTTATATGTATGTATGTACATAAAAACACTGGGAGGCAATTCTGCGGAAACCGGACTTCCGGTTTGATACATCCGTAATTACCGTTATTCAAATATAACGTGATCGTGACTGATTTTTTATTTTATTTTAAAGTCTATATAGAATGTAATATATATTATAGACGATAAAAAAAAATGTTATTTGTGTCTGGTAAACCTTAATAAATAAGATAAAAAAATAACAATATGGTAGCAGATTGTGATGGCGTCGATTTAAAAAAAAATACCAGTCAAGATTCATTATTTTTTACGGCAATGACAAATGAATTTTTCCGTGAATGTACCAATTCGGAAATTTTCATTCGGTTTTCTTTCTTTCTATGAACAGCAACGGAACTCCGCCTTCAATGTTTTGGACAACATCGAATTTTGGTTCAACAGTAAGATTTTTCTTGGTCTCGAGGGCAGGTTCGACGGTAAATTTAGAAAGAATAGCGGCTAGGCCAGCTAGAGACTGCATCAGACCCAATCTTGCGCCTGTAAATAATAATAATAAGTTTAAAATACTGTTAAAAGACAAATACTTAAATGTATACTAGGTACTAAACAAACTGTGTGGTATTGGAAGAGCCATTTTTATATTGACCCGGCTGGAAATCAAACCCATGACCACGGAAGTCGTCAAGCATGTAATAGTATAGTCAAGTAAGTTGATTTATTTAATTTTAATATCAATTAATTTAAATATCTATCAAAGGTCTATCATAAAAATAGGTTTTGATTTCCTTAATTACACTCACCTATACATGCACGTGGACCATCACCAAATGGTAAATATACGTATCTGTTACTTTCACTAACATTTTCTGGTTTAAATCGGTCAGGACGGAACTCGAATGGATTGTCGAAGTATTGGCCGTCAGTATTAATCCCTTGTACCGGCACAGTCACAAGCACACCCTCATCTATTGTGAAGTTCAATTCAGGAAAGGTATATTTTCTTGTACATTTTCTAGCCAGATATCCCAAGGATGGGAACAATCTCATACCTTCCTTGAATGTCCATTCTAAATAAGTCATGCTCTTAACAGCATCATAACTTAATTTATTGTCATGTTTACTAAGTACTTCATCGATTTCTTTTTGCACTCTTTTTTGCACTTCAGGATTATGTGCGAGTTGATAAAGTGTGTAACTAGTTGCTGATGAAGATGTTTCAAAGCCAGCAGCAAAGAAAACAAAGACTTGTGCTGCTATCAAATCATCTGTTAGTTCTAATTTGACACGATCAGGTGTTCCGTCAGATTTAACTTTTTCAAGAGATTCAACTTCAATCACACCTTTTTGTTTGCAATCTATCATTAAATCTATGAAGTCATTTCTACTTGATAGTTGATAGTTTCTAACTTTTAAAATTTGATTCACTAGAGATATTACTTGATTTTCCAGTCTGCTCATGTATTTCAAATTTCTGCTTAGTAATGGAAATGCGTCTTTCAAAATGGTGATTATTGCCATGGAGATGTTGAATTCGAAGATTTGATTTCCAAGTTTACGAAATTCCGAGTTCTCGTCGTTTAGAGATCCCGCGTCGAGTCCAAAGCCACAAGCACCAATAAAGTCCGTCGTATATCGTGCCATCAGATCTCTGGCGTCCATGGTACGTCCTTCGCGAGAAGCTGCTAATGTTCGTGATTGCAATTGTTCAGCTCGCTCAATTATCAACGGAAACATGGCTCTTAGTTTACCGCTGGTAAATGCCGGTGTCATGCGCTGTCTTAGAAGACGCCACAAATCACCTTCTGCGAAAAATAGATTTTGCAAAAGTGGCTCAATACCTCTCTTATCTGGATGAAGTCCACGCTCGTAAAAATGTGCAAAATCTGTAATGAGAACTCTTTTGATCAATTCTGGATCCCTGATGAGTAATCCTGGTTCCGATGAACGGAAGTAACCCACGACTTTCTCTTCAGGATATTCTCTATACCAGTTCGTTAAGGTCTCAGTTAAACTTTTCCTCATCAAAAAGTTTTCACTATTGCTTCCAAATAAAATGACGGGCTTTACATATTTTATACCTCGTTTTTTCCAATAGTTAAATTTTCTTGTGCTGTACAGGTACAATGCGATTAGAGTTAGACTTAAAATAATTAAGGTTATCATGGTGACATTGGTAACTATGTATATATTTTTTTAAATCTCTGCTGTACTTATAAACTGAATGGTATTAAATGTAACGTTAAAATATTTTAATATTTATAATTGCTGTTTATCAAATCATATCATTTAATCTCCGACTATCGTATATCTTAATCACACCTCAATAGTGGAATACTGAATCTGCACAAAAATATTTACGTGATAACCTTGAAATCAATAGTGTATTATCCACAGCGAAATATTATTTGAGCAAAATTAATTTTTACAGACTATTATTGTAAGTTACTAGGTCTATAAAACAAATATTAAAAACTGATTATTCCTACAGAGTCTCTATAGCATCACTAGCTTATTATTGTCCCTCACTGCTGAGGCTCAGGCTTTTCCTATGCGTGGAATTGACTCGTCTCGAATAGGGAGAATGGTCCATGACTCACTACGCGGGCCCAGTGCGGATTGGTGGTAACGACTAACGCAGCTGGACCAACGGCTTAAAGTGCCTTCCCAACTTATGGCTGGCCCTTGCGAAAGTTGCTCAATAACCGTATCGGAGCTTCTCGGGTCTCTATATAAACAAACTAAATTTTCAAGTGGTCTCTAATTTTCAAGAAATATTTTCCGGGGTACAGAACCCTTTACGTTTCAGTCCACATTGTTCTCGACCGGTATTTATCTCAAAGATTAAAAGTAGAAAATGATTAAATAATCTAAATAGTTTTGATAAAAATAAAATATCAACATTATTTTGAGCACATATTTATATTATTGATATTTTAAATATAAAACTTCCATGTAGTAATCCGAACTATAAAAAGTCTGTTAAATTACTATTAACACACACCTTACTGTTCTGAGATTTTTCTTAATTGAATAAATAAATTTGATTAATTTTAACCATAAGCGTAAAATCCGTGACCGGCTCCATGACCTCCGAAAAAGAGTCCGTTCCCGTAACCACCATAAAAAGATCTGTATTTGTTAACTGGTTCTTCGTTGCTATTGTCTTTTCTCTCCATCGAAGTTCTATAATGAGCAAATTTTGTTTCCACCGTGTGTATTTCTCTTTGCAAAGGAATTACAGTCAAATCGTGCAGCGGTACCAAATGGGTGTGATGGATTGGTATTAAGTAAACTGGAGATCGATGCGTGACGTTGGAAGTAGCGTGTGATATAGAATGTGAGACGATCGGTAAATTAATATTTTCATTCCTTACGACGTTAATGCCTGTATGTATTCCATCGTGATGGAAGTTAGTGTGAATAGGTATTACGTGAAGTTGATTTGGTACCAAAAGTTGATGTGTCACTGGTAGTAAATTGTGATTCTTCTGTTTTCTCGTTGACGGTTTGTTTAATAAAGCGATCTTCTGTTGCTCTCTATGGGGAATCACAAGAGAATTTTGTTGGATAGTCTGGAGGTTTGGAATGATGACGACGTCCTCTTTGTTATTAATGGGTGAATTTACTACCCGATGTAGATAAATCGAGATAAGGAAGAACGAAAATCTTGATAGCCTCATTTTCTGAAATTAAAATAGGTTTAATTCTAATTATGTTAACGTGAATAGGTTTTAAGAATCAAGCAGACGTTGTTATCTAGTAAATAGCTTTATTATTATTGTAAAAGCTAATTTTATTGTTATATAAATACTATTTAATCGATGTTTTTAATGCTTGTTCAAGCTAAAACTAATTCATACATTTTAATGTAATTTGGTAACTATTTAAAGTATTTTCAAGCCTGAATAACTTTAAATAACATAATAATAATAATAATAATATTTATTTTTCCAAAAAAAAAATTTTTTATACATAGTTTTAAACTCAATGTTACAATTGAGTAGCTTCTGTGCCTGAATGAGGTAGATAAATAATATTTTTTATCCTACAAAAAATGGACTAAAAATTTACTAAATAATAATCAGATGACAGTAAGGGTTAATTGTCTTTAATAACTCTGTTTATACTATTGTATTATCTTTATATTTAAAATATTAAAAAGAGGAAATATTTCATTGTGGGTTCGTCTGCATTGAATAGGCTCCGAAAGTACTGGATCGTTTTAAAAAAATAATTCACCTACGAGAAGTTATACACCGTACGCGAGTGACTATAATTCACGCGGGTGTAGTCGTATGAAAACACCTGATTTCAGCTCTTTTCAGCGTCGTGGAAATTATTAAATCTTTTCTAATAGGAACGGGAAGTATGTATGTTTGTTATTTTTTCAAGAGAGGCGAGTTTTTAGATGCAATAAAAACCTTAATATATTATAAAATTATTTCATAATTATATATTTTTATTAATTGTTATTTTTTTCTCTTGTAATGACTAAAATAAACACTATATGGGAAAAAATATCTGGTTTATTTAAGATACATTTACTAAAGTGAATTCAACTAAAAATGTATTGAAAATAGTGCAATTAAGTAATACTACTTACCAATAAAATATTTGCTCTGTAACTCAAATCACTAATATTCAAAACTGATCCATGTTTTTTTAATCACATTTTTTTTTTATTAGCTCATTAAATATTTATGAAATCAAAGAAAGACTTGTAAGCCAAACAGCTACCTTCGATAGACTGCATTTCTGATATACGAATTGGACAAGAAGTGTGGCTTATGGTGGTGGGGCCACAAAAGAAGCGGTTGTTTAGTTGATCGCCATGCAATTTTTCATTTATTTATCTGTGCCGGCTGGGTAAAAGCTTGATGCATTTGGAAATATTTTTTTAGAATTAGTTATTCATAATTTATTAAGATTAATATACCACATCATGTAAGTAATAGTTTTTGGTTAATCATTTTTGTCTAGGTCATTAATATATTTTCTCGAATAAACATTAGTTTACATGTACATAGCATATTACCTTTATATATCCACTCCAATATTATTTTCCATTATTTTTGTTTCGTCCTACACAAAATCTTGTTTAGCAATAAAAATATCAATATAATAAGATGAATTCGACATTTGAAAATTTAGCATCAATATATGGGAAAGGAAAATTATTGGGTCCGTTGTTCTGTAAGTGCTTTAAATTATATTATTATTATAAAAAAGTAAAGTTAGTAACTTTCCTTATTGGTATGGGGAAGTAATGATTCTTTCACCTAATAGGAAAAGTCCATTTTATCAGCATGCACGCACCGGCCGCACGACACGCAACGGATTTTCAAAATGCATTGAGTAAATTGACATATCATGGTAGCCTGACATGCAGCCATATGTATAACGAACAACTTAATACAGATCGCCCACGTAAGTAAAAAATAATGAATAGAAAAAATAATTTAAAAATGAATGTTTCACTTTTAATATTAATTAGTCGAAAGACATGAAGAACTATATTATTTAAAACATCCAAAATGTGCAAATTTACACAGACGGTATAATATTTGGGAAGAGATAGGATTAATAATGAGACAGCTTAATAAGTTATAATGTTTCCAATTTTATTTTACTTTTGTATTTGCATACTGCTTTTTATTTCTTTTTACTGTAAGTCATATATGCTTTAAATTATGAATGTTTAAATCGAGGATTATAGACACTCGTCATTTAAATATTAAAAAATAAGATCGACGTTATTAATAGTAAAAACCAAGTCCAATATAGTAAAAGAACATTCGGTATAAATGTACGAATATACCCAATAAAATAACTCCATATTAATATCTCGACGCTCCGTCCAGTGCGTTGCGTGTCGTGCGGCCGGTGCGTGCGTGCTGAGACAGTTAACGACCACCTTATGCTAATGCGAACCATCTTATAAAAACCGTCTTTGACGGGCACTTTGTCATCTTCTGATCCCTTAAACAGGGATAGAGTTTTGGTTTTATAATCACCATTGAAACGAAATCTTCGCAAGTCTTGACTAAACCCGACGCTTGAGTAGTTTAATAGATGTTGAACTTCATTTTGTGGCCTCAAATTTGGACGCATGCAAACAACGTATTGGGGAAAGGTCGAACTAGCGCCGAGTGATTGCCCTTCAGTCACAAATCTGTATTCGACTTTTACATATTATCGGTCCGGTGTCACTTTAAAACAATAATCTTTTAAAATATTTAGTAGCCTTTTTAGGAATCCTTAGTAAACATAGTGGTTGAGCTATGAGTATTACGCTGAGAAAGTGGTGAACAAAAACTTTCGAAAAAAAATCTTTCGAAAAAAACTTTCCTTACATGTAAAGTGGGGATGATAATGTTTTTTCGTTTTCCCCATAGTGTGGGGCATCGTTGCATAGGTCTTTCAAAAACATTGATTTTGTGAATTATTAAACTTTAAAGAGTTAATTTTAGAGTCAAAATATTAAAACGTTACCTTTAAATAACGAAGTTAAAAGGAAAATTATCACACTTAAGTAAATTTTCTAAGTTTGTATTTAACCCGAAAATTAAGAACAATTCTATAGAAAACAACAAATGTGTTTTTTTTAACTTTTTGGTTAATGGCACGGAACCATTCGTGCACGAGTCCGACTCGCACTTGGGCGGTTTTTATATTTGTGGTACCGCAACTCACAAAGAAAAGGGAACGCTTAAAATATAACCTGATTGTCTATTGTCTCTCACATAATTTTTTCCGAAACTTCTAAACTGATTAAGTCGGTTAAGTCGATCGGGTATTTAACTTAGTAACCCAAAAATGGTCGTGAAATATAAATAATAAAATGGTGGCTCATTTTATATCAAATAAAAGGGATTTTTGCGGGAATGTCAAATACTTATATGTTATATATACATTTTTGTGTCACAGTTTTAATTACCATAATTGTCCGAAACGGATTGACAGAGATGCAATTTTATAGGTATATTAGAATAGGTAAGTATTTCTTAGAATAGGTTTTTATCTATATATTATACCCCTTAGTGATAAGCGTCGCTCACCCCAAATTTATATTTATAGGGCAAAATAACGTTAACCAGATCAGCAAATATTTTTATGGTTTATAGTTTTGAGGTTGTTTGTTTATTTTAATATGCAGTGAGTCAACTGTAGATATATCATCAAGAATCGGTCATCAACCTCTAATAATAAGCGACTTGTTTATAAAAATCTTTATTTTTCTGATTTCCGATGTTAGAAGGTTATATGATAATATTTACAGTTATGAACGCAATACTATTTGTTTATAGATTCCAATTTTTTCCTGTGTAAGTATAGTGTGAAAAAAATATGAAAGTTATATTAAGTTAATATTACCTATTGCTTTTAGCTATTACCTAATTATTATAATTCAATAATAAAATATACGAAAACCTCCATGAATCATAGTGAAAACTGTACTAAAAATAATGAAAAATGAAAAAAAAACTTTTACTACTTTGAGTTTATAATATATAGTATAGAGCAGCGCCCAAACATTGTTTTATAATACTTTTCATCGGAAAAGTTCACGATAACATCGAATATATTTTTTTTTAAGATTACTCTAATATAGTCGACTTTATTTTCACTCGATTGGTTAAAGTAATGTGACAGTTTCCATGAAATTTCTTTTTTGTTCCGGATTTTATGTCGCTTCAGATTTGTTATTGTTTCTCGTTTCAATAGCTCACTCGCTCACTCACTATATATTCATTTCCGGCTTTTTGTTTCTTCATTAAACCGTTGAAAAATGTATCTCTTGTTGACATCGAATGGGCTCGACATAAACGATTGAGGGTTGCTAAAATAAGAGAAAAAACTACTGAAAACTAGTTAATTTGACATTGGTAGACACTTTATTTTCAAAATCATTCAATAAATATCTTTTCTGAGTTTGCAAACAGCCGTTAATATTTTGAGAGCTATCAACGCGGCAAGAAATTCTCATTGATTAATGTGGTGTTCACGTTCCTCGTTTGACCAAGGGCCACTGGCAGTTTCTGTGCCTCTTGCAGCCTCCCGACCCGTTTTTGAGGCGTCAGAAAAGATCTTTAACACGTGATTATCGCCTCTTATCCATTTAATGAACTAAGAACTACCTGCAGCCACCGTTTTAAGTCTTGAAGCAACAAAAAAAGATTTTTATAATTTTGTCATAATCATTATCACCTTGAAGAATTAAGTACATAAATCGTTCTAATCGTTTTGTTTGAGCCAACCGTATTCTATAGCAAGATAGGCAGATATCAGAAAACTAATAAATGTTTGTTTCTGACAGTGCCGTTTTAATTTCAGGATGAAGTGCAGGTGCTTCCAAAAGTTTCCATCTTATCAAATATCAATAGATATATTATAAGATTTCTCTAAAAATAACGATACCTATATGCTTCGGTAGGTACTTAATTTCTTATCATTTATATTTTTATAAGTAAAATTTTTAATACTTTTGTGCTAACATTAAAAGTCTAACTACAGTAAGTTACATACGTAATTTACGAGAACTAAATCACGGAAAACAGCTAATTGTTTATATTTTATAATAACATTATTATGTCCTAATTCATCGGAAAGAGCATAATGAACAATATTATGATATTTAATAAGTGACGAGGATATAGGTCATACAGGATTTTCACCGGATGCATACAAAAACATCTGTTACAGCACTAAATCGATGGGTGTCAATTAGTTAATGGTTTTTTGCAATTTCTGTTAGAGAGTATACGGAATACGGGATTTTTGTTTCCTGTCAAATATGAATAATCTAGGTATATAGTTACTCAAAATAATAAAAAATGCGAAAATGATAACATAATATATATTTTTTAAAATTTTGGTACAATTAATTTTCAAATCAGAATATTATTTATAACTAGCTGTCCGTCAACACCTTCACCCGCGTAGTCACCTAGGGAACTGTTTCGTTTGGATATCGATAATACAATTTCCACTCCCATTTAAAAACATTTGCCTTTTCGCTTCCCCGATAAAAAATTGGTTTAGCCGCACAAGGTAAGCTGGACTCAGCGGGCTCCTTGCCGAATCTTGGGTGATATCGGGAACCCCATAAGAGAGTACTCACAGTTTTATCAGGTTGACTTCGCTTGAGTCTGTCCTTTTCAGAACGAATGCGTGGTAGGAGCATTTCTCCTGAGATCTCAAAAAAGGGTTCCGCAAAACAGAAGGAAAACTTATATAAGATCACTTATATCTGTTAACTGTTAATTTCTTGATATGCCATTAATCTACAATCCACTTTTGCTGCAAAAATAAATGTCTCGAATTAAGAACAGTGAAAATTTACCAGTAAGTGGGTAATTAATAAAGTCAACAATACTATCACTTTAGCAAAAATATTGTTTTTAAAGTTATTCATAAGTTCAAAAACCTACTAACCTAGTCGAAACTAATCGGATATAAATAATCACGAGGTCTAATGGAGTTGAAAGGAAGGTCAAGAGAATTTACATACGTGTTTGATTTGCATACAGCCGATTCCGAGGAAGTGTCTCTTGGGAAGTAGTGCCTTTTTTGTTATAGGATATTTGAAAATGCACAGTCGGTAAAAATGAGTTTGAAAAAGATAGAGATCTGGCTACCAGGTAACTGCAAAGGAAACCACAGAAACACACCGTCACAGCCGTATATTAGTATTCTCACTGAAGTTTTACATTTGTTTTCGTAAGTCTAAAAGTATGAATGACATTTATTTAAAAACTGAGAATTTAGAAAATAAACATGCCAAAAGGGTTTGCGTAGCAGGTCACCAAAAGAGTTAATATTGAGAAATATTATATAAATTTATTAAAAGGAATAAGAATAAACATTTTTTAAAACATCTTTCGATTATATGCCAAATAACTTAATTGGTTTTGAAACAAATTGATTATGATAGAAGGACAGACAAGACTT